TTTTTTCGAGAAGTTGTTGATCGTGTAATTACCAAAGAGTCTTTTGTCTTTTTGTAAGTGTTATTGAAGCGTTTGGCCTAGTAGATTGTATATCAGTATACCCTTCCAGGCTCTTAAGAAGGCGATACTGCCGAAACGTCAGCTAGCGTTGTATTGTATTGTGTTTTCTTTATGGAAGTAAATGTATGCTGTTTAAAAACCTCGCGATTGCTGAGCAAGAAAACGACAGGTGATATTACTTATGCCCACTGAACCAATTTACTTTTAGTTTACTGTGTATACGTATCTGGTTTCATTGCATGGTTTTTTTGTTGATATTATGTACATAAATGGTTCAACTGTCGAAGGTTGGGACTAGCGTATACAACTACAACAAACAACGAAACCGTCACCATAAATGCCTATTGTTAAAGGAATGATCCTCTCCTTATCGCGGCTGAGATGTGTTTCTGGGTGTCAGACTGCGATCTACAGCGGGGGATTCATCCTCTGGCAGTGTCTCCTAAGCTGAAAAAGAGTCCGTCGTTTCCATCAAGAACCTCAGCTAAGAGTAAACCAATACCACCAATCCACCACCGTTCTGGTAACAAAGTCGCATGGTGGCAAATCTCCCTCTGATCCACAAGGGTCGCGTTTGCCTGCGGTGATGAAAACCTGGGGCAGACCATGGCCGGCCGACTTCGCGATTCCAAGAAACTACAATGGCTTAGCTAGAAAATCTCCGAAAAACGGAGATTATGCTGGGGCACGCACAACCAGCACGGACGGGGTATTCAAGTATCAAATATCAGGTAAAGGAACGTAATCGACATCAAAGCAATGATGATTTTATTGCCGACCATCGATATTCGTTCCTATGTTACCATATTTCAATTCTCGTCTGACGTTTTTGAGGGCGACTGTAAAAAAACTTGCGAGACAGCATCGCCTTGTCCAACTCATCTCTTAACTTAGACGTCAATAAAGGCTATGGTGTCGCGATACTCTATTTGTTCACACTTTTATATAAAATTTTAATCCTTGTAGATTCCATCTTTATATTTTGAGTTGGGATGCCGTGACTGCCCAGGGGTTCCATTACCGCTTCCGTCTCAATTAAGTCGAAGGACTGTCGTTCTTCACCGACGAGATGGCATAATCAATTTTGTGTGGAAGCACCGCTGAAGCGAAATATTTATCCTTTGTAGTTTGAAATTGAACCAACATGACACAGCTGTTGAAGATATTAGGACAGTATTTGCGGAAAATTTCCTCCAGCGCATCTTTAAAAGCCAGAACTTTTTCGTTTGAGCGTCAGAATGCGAGCATATTGGTCTTGTAATATGTGAAGCTACGGTGGGCGCTGCGAATGCTCGTTCCAGCCTCTACATCTTCAGCCATTACTACCGATTTTCTATCTTTGGGATCTTTTTTATAGCCTTTCTTCAGTGTTTCACATGTTTTACATGGCGATTAGCTGTGGATCGTGTGACTCATGCTGGCGTATTAACTCGAGTATTTCTGGAGGCAGATGTCTCTTTGTGACCTTCGAACTCTCAACCTTCATAGCGCTGAGGCGAAGATGTTGAATGACTCGATCGTATTTCCCGTCGACCTTATCAATACGGTATATTCCCAACAACCGACTGGTGAACTGAATAGGTCCCAGTTTTTGCCTGTTTTGGGAGTTCGTTTTTGAGCCTAGACGTATCACCCCTATCGGAGAGAAATGGAATCTTGTCGGAATTAGACGATGTTCCGAGCTCGACTGAATGATGGCCGCGACCGAACTTGTGTTGACGAGAATGCCGACCTCCATTATCGCATTTTACGAGGAACAGATCTCCGGTGTCACAGAAAGCGTTGTATGAGAAGCGTATTCTCATTTCAGCCAGTCCGATAACGTCATACCTTATTCTTCTTGTATGGATGATCAAGTCCTCTATCGAGGAATTCGATACAACCAAGCGTGCATTGTGGGTACGGATAGTCACGTTAGTCCTTCGAGATTTAGGCAGCCTAGAATGACGCTGAGATTCCAGCAGCCTCTCCCCACTCTCTGCTCAACGCTGCCGTATAGCCGACTCTTTCGTGGTCAAAGGGGTGGGGGCCAGTTATTTTATTTGTTTAGCTTTCACACGTACACCTTAGAATACAGAACTTTCAACGTGGAGGTGGGTATACCGACGCGTAGCTTGTCGTTCCCTGCAGAGCAGACTTTGAGCTTATTTGCTGACACCATTTTTAAGCAGCAGTTGTTAAAAGACTTAGAGAATATAACCTGCACATGTGCGAAGCCTGTGGGTAATGATGCCGCCTACGAGGAAGCAAGGCGCTGATTCAACTCCCTACCAAACACTCTTCTCCAACCCACGTTGGAACGCCTTAGGCCGGCCATCTCCAAGATTTCAAGGCGAATTGACTTAACCAACATTCTAAGACCTTCATAAAGAAAGCGATAGATCAACACTTAGAAACTAAACGCGTTTTAGGAAAGCGCAACATAAGGAAAGGTGCTTTTGATGAGCAAAGATCTGTAGATTTCCCGAATCAGTACTTTAAAAGATAAGGCTCATTATGAGCTGAAAAGCTGTGAATAAATCAGTACCACAAATCGTCGCTATGCTGGAAGAATCATAGTCGTCAACAACAAGTCCCCCTCCAGAAGAAATGTCACGGACTTGTGTTGAACAACCGCCAACGGCGTTAAATTGGCTTGACAGAGTCACAAAGAAAATCTTACCCAAGGAGAAAAATAACGCTTGAATAGAAATTATGTTAGTGTCCACATGATTCGTGTAGAACCGTCCTCCACGTCTGCGGCTAAGTTCTGCTGTGGACATGCTACTGTGAGGTAGAAAAATATCTAAGAAAAAAACAAAAATGTTACAAAGCAAAGAAATTAATGACGCAACACTTTTTTTATATTCTTTTACATTTTAGAGCTATATTTCCTTACTTTTCAGCACTCTCGGAACCAGTGACACCTATAGGTGCCATAATGGTGTTACAGGAGTACCTGGTATGACATCCACAGTTTTCATTTTTTTTCTGAGAGTTTTTTTTAACATAGAAGATCCTATCTTGCCCGTTGTTAAAAGAAACTCCATTCTGCACATAGAAATATACAAAAAAAACCGCATTCCGAAGGAGTTCACTAACCAGAAAATTGGGTACTGATCGGCAACTACACTTACTTGATACTTGGTACTTGAATGGCCTATCCTCACTGATTGTGCGAACCCCAGCATAATCTTCATTTTTCGTAGATTTGCTGGTTAAGCCATTGTGGTTCTCTGGAATCCCGAGGTCAGCCCGGTCAAAGTCTGCCCCAGGTCTTCACTACCATGTAGTGGCAGCCCTTGTGAATCAAAGAAAGATTTGCCACCTTGCGACTTTGATAATAGGACGGTGGTGGATGCTGGTATTGGTTTACTCTTAGCTGGACTTCCTAGTGGAAACGCCGGACCTCCTTCTCAGCTTAGGAGACCTTGCCAAGGAATGAATCCACCGGTGTACATCGCAGTCCGACAGCCAGTAACACCTCTCATCCACCATGAAGCGGTATATTGCCGAGAAGAATCGACAACTATTTCAATTTCAATTGCTTAACTGAATGATAGCTATCGTGTGGAGTCCACTGGTATAAAAAATACTGAAGCAGAAACCCATAATTTGCAAAACACTTTCAAGTGCTTAGAGTAGTAGGTTTTTATGATGGACCATAATTGCATAAAACAAATAGCCCTATATATATATATAAATATATATATATATATATCATTAATACCTAAACGATAGAGGAAAGCCTTTTCTACAATCAGTTCGTATTTACATCTCATTTTCTAGTTATTGAAAAACCATTATTCAGTTCCAAAAAGTCCAAAAAGGCTAAAAAGTAGGTCTCTTACAGTTCGCAACAAACCCATGATTTGGACTCGTCGCAAGAGTGTTAACAGAAGAACTAAATCTTGTTAAATCTCTCGAAATTGTCGTACCTTAACAGTTTGATTAAATAACATGGTACGAATCACGACTTGCGCAGTTGCTGATATGATGTAGGAACCACCGGAAGCGCCCACAGCCATTACAACCTGAAGTTCACCGATTTTTGCCGCTAGAACCTTTTCATATTTTGCTGAACTATTCATTATGCTTAATCCTTTAAATAGCTGCATTTTTAATTTATACACTAAAATTGCCAAGTAAATAAAACCATTAGACAATCTCAACCTTTTTATTTACTGCCTATTATTTTTAATGGCAGGGTATGTTGCGAAATATAACTGCTATAATGCTGAGATAGAGCGAACGCGCTACTGTCCTTTCCGGGGAGTAACGCGTTCACCACCACACCATGCAGCTTCTTCATTTCGCCTGCCTCTCAGCTAGTTCTATCGATCTTTTGCCAAGAGCCCGTCAACGGGGATGATCTGGGGAGCAACTATAGCCTCAGCTTAACTAGGTTCAGTACCGATTTGGGCTCGCTGGATCAATCCTGTTGACGGGTGATTGCTGATGGTAAAAGATCAATAGAAATAGTTGAGAGACAGGCGAAACGAAGAAGCTGCATGGTTTGGTGGTGAACGTGTTACTCCCCGGAAAGGACAGTAGCGCGTTCGCTCTCCACCGCAGACACCTGCGGTACGCAGTTTTGCAAAGATCTCACCATTAGACAATGTTGAACAGAATATTACACTATTATCAAATATATTATATATAATGTGTTATATATAAACGTTGAAGAATGATTGCTGATGACGGTTACGTAGCAAAATGGCTAAGAGAAAAGGAAAGCAAGGGCCTGTTGGTGCAGTGGGTTCTACGTGAACATCTGGAGGTACAATTGCGGCTCGAAGTTCACACACGGTTCCGAGTTTTGCTCATATTATCATTGTAGCTGTGTTTCACATGAACTTAATTAGGAAAAATTAATGGGCAGTAAATAGAAGTGAAAAATGTTAGGCAGTACTAAGAATGGAAAAGAAAAAAAAAGAAAAATGTGAAGCAGGATGTTAGTTTATTTACTAGCGACACAAACAGTGAATGGTTGTGACAGATGAAGATTTGTCATCTGCTGTCAAGAGATGCAAATGCTAATTCCATTTTACACTTTGCAATAAGTAACAGATCTTCATTTGCATTCTTCATTCGCTTACTGCAATAGTCGAATGCCACCCGAAATTCACAAATCTCCCTTTATCAGTATCTCGGCAGTTCTACTGTATGCGGGAAGCTAATATCTAACGAGTTTGGATCGAATTATTGCAATATATAAACATATATATATACTTACTTGTTACTTGAATGGGCCGTTCTCACTTGTTGTGCGGACCCCAGCGTAACCTCCATTTTTCGGGGATTTGCTGGTCCAGCTATTTTGGTTCCCTGGAATCCCGAGGTCAGCCTGGCAAAAGTCTGCTCGAGGTCTTTCACTACCACAGGCAGTCGCAGTTTTTGTGGATCAGAGGGAGATTTGCCATCATGCGAGTTTGATACAAGGGCGGTGTTGGATTCTGATATTGGCTTACTCTTAGCTAGGCTTCCTGATGGAAACGCCGGACTCCTTCTCAGCTTGGGAGACGCCGCCAGCAGTGTGAATCCCCCGCTTTACCAGTTTACCACCCAGGAACACCTCCCAGCCACGATGAGGCGGTAAACCGTTGGGAGGATATATATATATATATATATATATATATATAAAGGTTTTAGTGAAAAACTCAAATTGTCTCACACTGTCCTCATTTTTATTGTAGATGATCATCGGGCTCATGCTACTCATCGGTCGTTTGCCAGGTGCAATGAAGTTAGAAGGTGATGGCGCGAAACCGAACGCATTTGGAGTGCCAGGAGTTGAAAAGTCGTCCATTTCGTCGTTCCAGATAATTCCGAGCGTTTGTGAAGCTCGCATTGAACCAAAACTAAAACTTTATCAAACTTTTGCTAATTCTTGACTTGCGCTGATTGAACTGCTAAAATATTAACAAATAGGTTAGCAAAATGGGGAAGCTATTAGAAGAACTTCAATAATGCCGACAACAATAACGTCTTAACTTTCTTAATTATCCTCGCCATATCTTATTAACTCTGTTGGATTTGTCCAGTGTTCAGCATATGAGGGTAAGGGTAACTGGATTTTCGCTTAACGATTTTTTTTGTACTCTCCACAGATGACAGCCTTTTGGAAAGCTCTGGATGGAATACAAACTCTTTTTTGCAGCGCAATATCTTCATCTTTTTTCGCAATAAGCCGAAGTCGTGTGACCCGTGTATGTCAAGGGCTTAATGGGAAGACCACGATCTACTGGTCTAAATATGTCTGTGAAAATTCTAGAACATAAATGTAATGCTCTTCATGTTTCTCGAGTGCATGGAACCCAACCAGTTTACCAAGCGACCGTGGCAAATTTACAAGCTCGACTAACTGGACGTACAAAAAAAGAGGAGACAAGTGATAGAAGTGATATACAGATAATCTTTTAAATCATTGCCGATACAATTAATGTGGAGATAATTCTTGAGGTCCGAAGCAAATCTGGTGTTTAATAACAAGTACTTACACTTGGTTTATTGTCGAAGTACACGAAACTCCATTTCCTTCATGATCAATCACGGTCACATGTGATGTTCCGTGATCGGGGACCTGTAAAAAAATTTAGAACAATTCATGAAATATGTAACAGTTGGAACGGATGGACATCGGTGATAATGTCCATCTCTCAGTCTGCATGTTAGCGAGCTACTCAATATGGCTCAAACTCATAATCAACTGAAAACTGCAAACAATGAATAGTACGAATACCATAAATGTTCCTCCATAAAACTGTTAGAAATAGAAATAGGTAAGGCTAGAAAACCTAAGAAACTTATCTAAGCCAACAAAGAACCTATTTGTGTTCTAGAAAACAAACTTTGCACATGTTACCACCATCCTAAACTACCGCTCAATTGCTTATAAACTATTTCATGGAGAAACTGCATAATAACCAAGATGTGATGCGCCTAGGACAGCGTCAAATCATGCAAAAAAAGCTAAATAAAGTGTCTATTAAAACTGTGTGTTATGTCACACTCGCACTTGGTGGTGTACCTAAAAAAACGAACTAAATGAAGGGTCCAGTAAAATAGTGTGCTGCGTTATATTAATGATTGATGGTGTGCATTTTAAAAAAAACTACCCCTTTCTTTGGGCGCAATGAATTCAGATTTTTTGGTGCGACATTTTGTGTGAAGTAAATTTGTTTACAAAACGTAGAACAGGTTAGAGTAAATGACATCGTATTCCGATTTGCAAGATGTCAACTTCAAAATGATCCTATTCCTTAGCATAAAAAAAGCAGTCGCACAACAATGTCGATCAAAAAATTCTGAACAGAATCTTATAGTGCCGACGTCACGAACACTGGTGAAAAACTCACCTCAGTTAAGTCGAGTGTTATCTATAATATTAATAAAGAAATGGTTAATACATTGTTCCACAGTTTTCAACGGTTTCGGTTCACAGTACAAAGATTGCTCCGCACTTTTACCAAAGTTACCAACTACGTTGCAAACTACTCGGATAATGTGTAATACTTGGATAGTTGAATGGCCCGTCCTCACTGGTTGTGCGGGCCCCAAAAAATTTTTCATTTTCTAGGAGTTTTGGTGGTTTAGCTATTGTGGGTCCTGATGAGGGGATGAATGTTCCCGCTGTATATGTCAGCCTGGAGCCCGAGATCACGGCCAGCCATGGTGAGGCGGTAATCCTTTTAGAGGGACAGTATGTGATATATGTGATAATTAAGGAAATTTCATATGAAGAATTCGGATATCAATGCACAACATCTTATTTTTGAAATAAATGAGGAGATATTGACACTTACCTAACATTTGAAACAAAGGATGAAATATACATCCAACAGATGTTCTGTACTAAGTTCATTGCCCGGTTTTCGCGAACGTTATGTAGTCTTCGAGCTCGCAGTTTGCATTGCAAAGACACAGAGAGGATTCGACAAATCAATGCTACCTTCTCAAAATTATTTACACACACCCTCGAGATCGTCATTCGAAAAATGGAATAGGACAACATGCGAGTGGATAACGAAAGTCGGCCATTACATAATCTTCACTTCGATAAGGATGTCGTTTCCACACGGCGCGTGAAACACAGTGGTTAGAGGTGCCTTGCAAGACACACGTTCTTGAGTTGGTATCCGTGCATTGCGCTCACCCAGCCCTTTATCTCTTCCGGCTCGGAAATAAATACTAAAGCTGTCTGGGAGTACAGCAGCAATGACTTTATACATCACTGGGCTAATACAAGTCACTGTATGACCGACCAGAAATGCTTTCAGACATCTTTAACGACGCATGAAGCTGAATGCATGGTACACCTCTCAGAGATTAGTGAACACCGAACTCTTTATGCTTGATTTTTTATCCTTTTTGTAACAACAGATATTAGTTAAACGGAGCGAATGTTGGACGGGGGACAAGGACATTTGGACAAGAACTTGGGAAAATCGGTTTACGACTAGATTCCTTAAAAACGATGTTCGTGAACCGAGAATTTGTTTAGTATGCCCTTTTCACGTTTATAGGAAAGAACATCACCGAATGCTCCAGCTACATCTATCCAGATGGGAAAGTGAAGGTGATGAAAGAGTTAGCTCCAGAGTTAAGTAGGAAGGAGTGAAAGGCATAGACAGCTTCAAGAGAATCGAAAATTTTGCAATGAAAACAAAGAACGTCAGACTCAATGTCCACCTTTTCGAATTCATTAAACTTCCTGCCTTGACATAAACGTTGGAAACCCGGTCAGTACGTAAACAGGATAAAAGAACACTCAATCGCACATGGCGACAAATGCAGGGTCAAGAGAACGATGCTAGGAATACCCGCATCATCCAAATGAGAGAGGGAATATGAAATTCCGACCTATGTCAACGACTAAAGAACAGAGACACTGTTGCTGTTCGTTCGTTACCACTCGACAATGAACAGGAATGGAATTCGTAACACCCAAGACGAATTTGAACAAATCCAAAAATTTACCTGTGAAGTCGAATCACCGAGATAATAACTTTGCTCCTGTGCAGTGTCTTTAATCATTGACGCTACCCATTTCGCATATTTTCTAAAACGTGATCTTAGAAAACAGGAGGATACAATGGACAAAGAGCTCGTCACTAAGGCATTCATAAACAAAAATTAGTGCGGATTATGATGCTAAGTCACAACATTTTAATGGCGGTAAACATCATTTGATCTATGCTGTATAATTTTCACTTATACCAAGTCAAGTTGGTAGTGAATTTCCCATCATCTCACCGCAGCGAGAGGAAGTTCCATGACTGTGAAAATGTGATGTGTGGACTATGTAAAAAGTTTGTTTCTCGTCAGAATAATTCAAACCAAAGAGCTAAACATTTGCAATCGGAAACCCAACAAACATATACCTATACTGCAATGGCGGCCGTTTTGAGAAAAGTTTTGGGAAGAGCCTCAAAGTCCCTCTTCCGATTCAAAATTCTCGTATTCTGGGGCAACTCTTAGAATATCAGATTGAAAATGAGTTTTGATACCGTGGTACTTAGAAAATACTAAGATCCTTAAGAAATTAGTTAAAGCTGAAAGAAACGTAGAATCTAAGAGTTAGGCTTCTATGGATGAGCTCATTTAATTATTCATTATATCTTCTCTGGGTGCGTGTGGTGCAGGGGTCGGAGGCGCTCTGCATCACACACGTGAAATCGATCCTCGCGCCTACGGCGCCACACCTTCCATCCCACCGGGGTCGGCAGATTGGTACTAGGCTTCTCTGGGAGGAGAGCAGCACTGGCTCGAAACATTGCGAGGCCACCGCGAATCATTGTAAAGGCCAGATATGTATTCAGTCACTTCCAACGATACTTAATGAAGTCGAATGCAAGGCGCATTCTTCAGGGATTGATCATCGTCATGAGCTTTATTTTTTTTATCTTCAGCTTTTTGAAAGCTCCACAAACTGCTTTTCTCCTGCTCTGATATGAACTAAGTCATTTTTTAGGTTAACGTCGCGATCCAGATGCAACAGTTAAAGCACTTCAATGATCCTCAAATCCTGTATGAATGGTTCTCAAAAGAAAGCTTATTCATCAAAAATATCGTTTTTTTAGGCTTAAGTGAAAAAATTTTGGCTATTCAGACCCTCAAAAACCTTTTTTCACTGAGTCGATCGAATCTTTTTAAATCCGTGAAAGAGATACAAAGTGCCATGTCGTGCTCTCACAGCAGTCCAATACATAGGAGTGCACATCGCTTACAAGTTGTACAAGATACGGCTTAGTACTGTATTCAACAAAATTTTTAAGAATCAACAACAGCCCTAGAATTTCCGCCTAAACCACATAAGTAGAAGACTCACGGTGTGCTCATATTGGCGACGAGCGCTATGGTACTTTCGACGAATCGCATGTCGCCGAGTTTGGTTCGCTGTGCATAGGCGAATTTCTCGGCTTCGATGAGGCGATGGTAAACTAGTGGATCGTTTAGGTCCACTCTGCCATGGCGATAGAATTTTGAAATAAGCATTCTTTTACAGCGAATCGAATTGATAATTCTATGAGCAAAATGTGTTTGATGAAAAGAATTTTTTAACAGAAATATTCAAGTCATAGGTTTTGTGAACTAAATTGTCTCATCGCCTTAAACAAACGCACCTATGAAGTAACGAGGCCATAAAGGTTGTCAAGAGTAATACAAAACATTTCAAATCGACACTGCTACTCAAAACTAACCGCCGACAAAACACTTTTGCTTGTTGACAGGAATGTGACTCATTTTGAAGATAGAGAGAGATTTGAAAAACTTTTCACTCTCAGTTTTGCGGCGCAATAATCAGTACTTCACGTACAAAACTTTTCGTTGATGATAGAGTGAAGTGCTCAGTTCTTTAATTTCAATACAGAACCTTTGAAATGAAAATACCCGAAGCTAGAAAATCCAAAATGGGGAATTTCGAAGAGCTCTTGATAAGAATTAGAAGATTTACCAGCCATCACTGCAATGATATTCTGCGTAATCACGAACGACGACGGCGGTGGAGGTCCACACATTTCCAAATCGCCAGGAAGCCCGGTAGACAAGAGTGGAATTTCGTCGATTAGAGTTTCATAGCTGGCCAAATCTTTTTGGTCAACGTACCCTCCTGAACCACGAAATGAAATATGGGAACCAAGTAAAGCGCTCTCAAAATGAAGATTTATTAGTTGCACCCAAATAATAAATATATTATTCTAAGAGCATATGTAGCCCCTAAAGCATCCTGGCCTCTATTTGTTCCTCAAATATTTCGAACAAAAAAAGCATTAAAAAAAACAAAAAATATGTCTCCCGTTGGAAAGAAGACTAAGAAATTAAGTGCCATCATAATAACTTCAAAAAAAAAGCTGATGCTGAAACAAGTATTTAAAACTAGTATCGTTTTCGAATATCGGTCTCGAATATTTACTTGACCAGCATACGCCACCGTCCTGGTATCAAAGTCGCATAGCGGCAAATCACCCTCTAATCCACAAGGGTTGCAACTGCTTATGGTGGTGAAGACCTTGGGTAGGCTCTGGCCAGGCTGACCTTGGAATTCCGGGTAACCACAATGGCTTACCAAGCAGATCTCTAAAAAATGGAGGTTACCCTGGGACCCGCACAACCAGTAAGGACGGGCCTATCAAGTATCAAGTAAGTAAGTATATTCACAATTTTAACTTATTATTTACTGCCTATTCTTTTTAACGGCAGGGTATATATTGCGAAATGTAGCTTCAATGATGCTGAGATATTTGCAAAACTCCGGACCGCAGGTGTCTGCGGTAGGGAACGAATGCGCTATTGCCCTTTCCCGGGAGTAACGCGTTCACCACCACCACACCATGCGGTCAATAGAACTAGCTAAGAGACAGGCGAAACGAAGGACCTGCATGGCGTGGTGGTCAACGCGTTAGTCCTCGGAAGGGATAATAGCGCGTTTACTTGGCAATAACTGATTTTGATACTACTTCACTTCTATTTACTGCCTATCATCTTTTCCATGCCCGGATACAATGCGAAATACAACCAAAATAATGTAGAGATATTTGCAAAACTCTATGTTATTATTTTGAGAAGAAGCGCCTTATTATATTAAAATCAGTAGTCTGAAGTTTGGTATAAAGTATTGAATAGACTGATCTATGTATTTCTTAAAACAAATACCGTTGTCAGTGATCTCTCCTGCAATTGTTTGTGCCATTCCACCTTTGTAGAATAACTCTACTGGGTCAGTGGCGTTTGCAATCAGCTGAAGAGTAAATCCATATCGTTCTCTCTTCATAATGTCGCCCTCTTCATAAACACGACCAGTCGCCCGATCGACGAAAATTTCTCTGAAGTTGTTACGTTTATGACTTAAAAGTCGACAAATTTCTTTTCGATTTTTAATTTGTAATATTTTAGAATTTTCATAAGAATAGTACGGCGAGCGTAGCACCGTGAAAAATGCCTCTGAATACATATATCGTCGTTAGTTAAACCCACTCACTGGCTCAATCAAGCCTCCTCCTTTCTCCCGTGCTCAACGATTTAACACCAAACTTATGTGTGAAGGGCTACTTCCGACCCACAAGTCCTAGCCACCGCGTGTTACAAAGATCTAAGAGCGTCTTTGCAGGGATATCTATGGATTCCACGACGTTATGCCCGACCAACAATCAACATTTATGGAAAAGACAAAATGCTCAAAATGAAGTCGAACCCAACGTGCAGATCTGACTAGATGAAAAATATAACACGACGAACCAAAGTAGAGAAGTGCTGGGGCCGCTCAGTATGCAAAGACGGTACGCACAGATAAAAAGGAATATTTGAATATCGGCTTACGTCCCCCGCCCTCTTGCAGGTTTCAAGACGATTTTCATTCGTTTCCTTTTTTCGGGGTCGTTAGCACTGGTAGTACTCTATCTCAAGCATAGTAACGAGTACAGCTCAGTGATCTCGAAATCGTTTCGCCACTACAGACGGCCGACGTAACCCACGAACATGTCCTTTCATCCTGCAGATGATCGTAGTAGACGACAGCTTCATTTTCTTTGGGTTCATTCCACTGCTTTTGTGGTCCATCTGATTCAAGTATTCTCACTGTATAAATAGTTCTATAGCAACTATTGCAAGGATACTTACTATTTCTTTCTCTTATTGCATGTGTCTGTAGTAATGATCATATCCATTGTTTCTCAAGTCGTTTGGCAATCCTGTAGCATGTAAATATTTTCAATGCATGCTAAGGAACTTTGATCGCTATAAACAGTCTTGTTATACAAACCTATTTGTGCAATCGGAGCTTGTTGTTTGCTATTATTGTCCAAAAGTATTAATGTCGTCATTCGTACAATAACACGAAGAGCAAGAGGATGTTTACGAGAACCGTCTTCCACCAGCTGATCTCTGGCTATGAAGGATTTGGAAACTGGAGCCGACGAAAGTTTTCGGTAGAGGTGATTGCCCTGTGCCTAATATTGTCTCCTCCAGAAGCTGTGTCTCACCCATGGGTGTCGTGGTTGTTAACTCATATTGCTCGTTGTCATTGCTGTACGTTAACTTCACTTCACTGTTATTCTATCACAGTTCCGAATTGTGCTTTAACTTCGCATTGCCTTTACTACGTCATGGTTCCGATCAGCTCGGTACTTCCGCAGCCTCATCTTCGTGTCAATGTTCATAGTTTATTAGTTGGTCTGCTCTGCGCTGTCAATGGCGGCTGCTGTTCTCAAATTCGTTTTATCTGCAACGTCATCGGTGGCATGCCAACGATCCCTTTCACAATGTGTGCCAGGCGTACATGGCCGCTGGTCGGCCAATGCTGTATAGCTGTAATGACGCTAGTCGGCTTACCAGTTATCTCAGTAGCTCTATTTCTGGCCTAAATTGTTTCTTAGGTTAATGGTTGTACCCATCGGTGTAAACATCACGCCGCAGACAGCGTTATCCAACGCCAGCCGCCCGACTGTGTTCCGTAGGTCACCCGCGTTCGTAGTCATTTACGCCATCGGTGCTCAGGTAACTTCCTATTCTACTCGACCATGTCAAACTGCACCTTCCCGCTGTGGATATGATCCCTAACTCGTCGTTCTAGCTCCCGGCATCTTGGCCACTGTACGTGCTAGTATGGGCATCATTATCCGCACTACCCTGCACGTCATTGTTATCAGGTTGCTACCATTGTTATATCAATGTTGTAATAATAACCTAATACTCTTGTGTCCTCATTAGCTTCAATTCATTAATAGTTATACCTTCTCATAATCTTAAACCTGCCTTATTCTTATGCCAATATTTTTCTGCCCAATATAATTCTTGTCGTGCTAGTGTTGCATTTATGTATATAAACGAATTAATTACACAAGTTTGAGATATTGTTTCATGACAACTGTGAAAAGTCTCGCGTGGCATCTTCCTGCGAAGTTGAGCATTCTACTTAAAACTAGTGATTATTCGGACCCGGCAACTGACTCGAAGGCCTAATTTTCCACCAGCAACTGTGATAAGTTCAAACGTGCAACACTTTCGGAGACGGTTCTTTTTATTCCTTGTTACCTGGTGCGACCTATGAACATATAGGTGTGGTCTGAACAAAGGAGCAAACCGTTCGACTTGATTTGTTCACGTTGGCACCGCGGACTTTTTAAGAACCGGGTCTTCTTCCCATTTATCAGCAGTCTTATCCTTTCTTAGCTCTTCGTTGAGCTCTTTGAACATCATCTATCCTACCTCTTCTAGGATAATGAAGATGGAATCTGAACTTATTCCTCGAAAAGCTGTGACCTGTTTGGCATACCATATCACACCCTTTACACTTTGCGAAAAGTATTCCTGGTTCTTTGTTGAACTGTCCTTAATATGGCAGTTAGAAAAAAGACGATTCTACTCTATTTTTTCTTGTATTGCACTAATTGGTCTTTTTTCATGAATGATGACTATACTTTCTTCCCGGTTTACGAATTAATCAGAATCTCACACAGAAGTGGTAATAATCGAATCCATTACAGAACGATAGTACAGCTGATGCGGTAAGGAGACACCATTTTCTATTTATCATGATATGATCGAACCCACTAGACCACTACGATATCCAAATGTGATATTCCTTCTTCTCGAAAAATCGACTTATATGGAAGAAGTTTGCTTCGAAAATGAGTGGAGTATTCTTGATCCCGTATTCATTCGCACGCGAGTGTCGTCGAAACTCTTGAACCGAACTTATAGAAGCGGTTTTTGGTACGGATTAATTCTTCTCTCCAATAAGAATAAGGAATAAGGATAAGCCGCGGCCATGGCTCTCCAAGTCTTCCATCCTTCCGACGTTAGCAAATTGGTACCACACTTACCTGGAAGGATAGCCGCACAGTTTCGATACATTGGTAGGCCATTGTGGGTCATTTTAAAGGATAGATATGAATTCAATCGCCTCCAAACGATGTTTAATGAAGTCGAATGCATGGTGCATCCCTCAGGGATTGATCAACACCGAGAGCCTTTTTTCAACAAAGAACCAGGGCTACTGCACCTTTTTAATAAGAGAACGCATCTTTACTCATCATCTGCACCAATGATGTAAAGCAGTTGATAAACACGGTTCTTCGTGGTAGGGTAGTTGACCACGGAGGAAGACCAAATGAGGTAAAAGCATTCTGCATGTGTTCAGTTGGAGGTTAACGGCTAAGTGAACGACAAACACACGCCATCGAAATTCCGTGTCAGAGACTTTTCTTTACTAAATTTCGATAATAATTCGATAAGTCGAGCCATTTCCTCTTCAAAGTCTTGTAAAGCGATCATGTGGAATGGGCGAACAGCATATAACCACGAAAGGAAAACGATGATATGCTTTTGGAGAAACCGCTGTGGTACTCTTATTTCTCAGTAAGAACCCAGCATGTTAAGATGTGTTTTTAATCGGTTTCAGTGACATCTTGTGACATGGAGGACCTAATCCCTGCTCACTATTTGACTCACCACCTGAGACGTAGATGGGAGACACCTGCTGGGTAACGTACTAAAACTGGCGTATTGCTAGTTGAGTTGCTTCATTTTACTGATGCTCTGTAGTAGCACACCTGTATCGTTCTCAGATCATCATAACAAAGCATCGTCGGCAACTGTGGATTCCAGAGAGCTTGCTACTTTGCGACTAGGCTAATACCAAGATGTACCGATTCCGAGCATTGTCTCGCTCTTAGCGGAATTCCTGGTGGGAATTATTGAGCTCCTTCGCACTTTTAGCGATCCTGATGCAGGAGTGAGCAACCTACCTTATATCGCATATGGACAGCCAGGAATATACGTTAGTCGCGATGAGGTTAAAAGCCGCTGAGTGTTGGTTATCTTTTGACGACTTTTGTTGTAATCTAGTGAGTTGTGAATATAAAAAAAATTAAATGCATGAACTTCATCGTCTGTTCAGCCTGAATGAGGTTTTCTTTATCGCTAAGTTGTATTGCTAAGTTTCTCGACACAGGGAAACCGTTGAGAGCTAGATTGATCGATGGCGCAAACAAGCGAGCCCAGCTAATCTGGAATTATACATTTGGAAGAAGAGAACTAAGAAAAAACTAATATTCTGAGTCTTTCTTCACTGTTTCGATTTCTAGTAGTGCTTAGGAAAGCTCGATGTACATAGCGCAATTTTTTTTGAACATATTCGCTATAGTAAACCCCAAGACCGACATTCTTTTAACAACGGCATTGGTCATTAATTCACCGTTTTTCTTGATAAGCAAACACGAGGTCTTATAGAATTCTATTACGGTTGGGTCCAAGTTTCTCACGGCGCAACCTATTTCTAAGGAAACCTTGCGTGGAAGTGCATTCAATCCACACAAGCAACAAGATCGATTCTATAACAAAGCTAGATTTGGAACACTATGCAGGATTGAACAACAGAAAGCAAGGGCATAACACATCTTTTTTTTCTCGAGTGTTCTCTATACAGAAAGTTCTCCACGGCGAACTAGATATCAACTTTCCCATTTTTTTGGAAGAAACACTGTTCGGAAACCCGAACCACTTCCGCGACAGAAAGTTTGGTCCCAACCTTATAGTAGCGCAAAAATATGATATATGACAGGTTCGAGAAGTCAAATGAAGTTAAAAACTATTAGACTATAATGAGAGTCGAGAGTTTGTAGTAATTCCTTGCCAGCGAGACGTTGAGATATCGAGAAAACATAATGAAGATGTTTCCTTTTATCGTCCATGTTCTGGAAAAGAATTCAAACCCAACACGAAAAACTGGGCACGGAGTAGGTCAACGTGGAAAGTGCGGCAGGTTTAAAACCATCAGTTATTCGACAACTTAAATTACTAACATTTCTCGTACAATAGTTGCTTATCAAAATTCACAAGTTAGTATCCACTGATTGTCGGGTGTCTACCGGCCCCTCACCTTTCAAGGTTAGACCCATCACCAGTTGTGCAGATATGGAAAGGATGGCTTGGTTTGTAAACCTAATTCTCATCCAACTGCTGTAGCTTATACCAGCTCATCTTACGAATACACAAAGTACCTGGATCATCTACATAATGCGCATGTTAACACAGCGTATTTGACGGAGTACTTCGTCGTCTCCGCTCTTCACACTAACGTGTTCAATGACTGCGCAAAGCGAGCCACACGCGAACTCCTAATACAACATGAAGGAGTAGTAAAGATGTATGGCCTCTCTTTTAAGCACTTCACAGCCTCCTAAAGGAGTGCTTGAAGTGCTCAATCTTCAAGTGGTCCGAAATGTAATACACACAAATTAAAGGGTTGACACTGAGGCAGCCTCTGGCTCCTAGCCTTGCCACTGTCTTTGTATGTAAGATGGAATCACCAGTCGGTGGATTGTGGGCCACTTCTGCAGTGTAGATATATATGTAATTGTTTTGTTATCTGCTGTACACAAGAGAAGACGGACAAATGTTCTGAGTTACTGAACGAAAAGAAGTGTACAGAGCGAACACCTTTCTGGATTATAAAGCCAAAATGAGGTTGATCTTAACTTCATGTCAACCTCGAAGATAAGGTGGGCCGGACACGTAATGCGTATGAACGACAACCGATGTACAAGGGCCGTTAGTGACTGGATTCCACGGGATGTCAAACGTACTGCAGGTAGACCACCAACCGGAAGGTCAGAGTTCTTCACAAAGAGCCTTGGAGAAAGATATGATGCTTGACGAGTTCCTAGAGCGAGCCGAACCCGCTGAGCTACTCTTGCACGCTACAGGTAACAATGGAAGATTTACTGGGGCCTGCTCGAGTCACTCGACGATCAACGGGACTACAGGTGACACAGGTGAAGGTATTGATTATTAACGCCGAGGTTAAATGACGATCATTTTGGAAAACAGAGCACATAACATCCACCTGAGAGAAGTAGAAGGAAAAGTAGCTCCCATTTCTGAACATTCATACTAACCTATCCGAAAATAGCCACATCACCAAGTAGTACCAAAAGCCAGGTATCAAAATTACTCTGGTTCATTACCTCTCCTCTCATCTTTCACACACAAAAAGACACTTGTGAAAAATATATTTCCAACAGCCGCCAATGTATGCACAGGAAGCCAGCAGAAAGAAGAATTCCTGAAATCGGCGCGGCAAGTAGCCATTTCAAGTGGCTACGAAATGTATAGCTCCTCGAGATAGATGCAGAGGAAAATCCACGAGCCCAAACGATAATTTTAGCAATAATAAATTTCTTTTACTCCTCCCTTCATTTCCAAAGAAATACGCACGGCTAAAAAATGAAAAAAAGGGTCTGTCTAGAGAAATCGATAGCAGTGGTTTAATTAACATCTAACACTCTAAAACGTCAGTTAATTCGTAACCGCTTATGATCGTTTATACACAATGTAAAATTGCATAATATTCCATAATGGTAACGATGATTGGACGAGTTCGGGTACGGTGTACCTAATCTCTTGTGAAGAGTGGGGCGAATAAGTTGGTGAGACGGTTGGACCGCTCTGCATCCATTGAAAGAAACATTGCCGGTAAACTCAAAGTTAAACTGAGTATTACATTAGGCACAGATGAAAGTTACCATCCTCGCACAGAAATCGAGAGTTCAGCGTGCAAAATTCTCGTGGCATTCTGGATAGATTCCAAGAAATCCAACAGCAACCGCAGTCAGGAATGCGTCGTTATCACGGGTGATCTCACACAGCATTTGAAACTGATATTTTAAGGTGAAGTTGACACATCGCCCATTCATGTGAACTGTGTGCGGTTGCCCTCGACATTAAATACTTGACACTTGTGAATGGCCCATCCTCACTAGTTGTGCGGGCCCCAGCATAATCTCCAATTTTCGGAGATTTGCTGGTTAAGCCAGTATGGTTCCCTGGAGTCCCGTGGTCACCCTGGCCAAAGTCTGCCGCAGGTCTTCACCACCACGAGCAGTTGCAGCCTTTGTGGATCAGAGGGAGATTTACCAACATGCGACTTTGATGCCAGCACGGTGGTGGATCCTGGTATTGGTTTACTCCTAGGTAGGTTTCCTGGTGGAAACACCGGACTCCCTCTCAGCTTGGGAGACCCTGCCAAAGGATGAATCTCCTGCTGTCCATCGCAGTCCGACACCCAGGAACACCTCCCAGCCACGATGAGACAGTAAACCGTTGGGAGGTTACATGAAATACCCAGTGGAAAACTCACAGAAAGCGGTGAGGTGCGAAAAAGCCATTTTGTCTTCAATATGAGTAAAATCTTGGTTCCTCGATAGATTGCAGTCACGCGGCCTTTTCAGGGTCTGAAGAATGCGTAATCGGCCGAAATATCAGCTTTTCCGTCAATAAAGAATATAGTAACTCTCGTGTTTGCTCATCGGAAATATAGTAAAAACGGTGAATGTTTTGAAGAAACTGTTTGTTATGCTGGTGAAAATATCCGTTAAGTTTTGTCCGCTAAGGTTATAAAAGTGTGTGGCTGAGCACATTTCATGTCTATTTCACCTTTTCGGTCTTAAAAAAAGGTAAAACCACCGGAACATCGACTGCTGTGAATGAATAAATAACGTAATAACAAACACGCTTTAGCCGTAGTAAATTGCAACTAAATTACAACCTTCAATGATGCTGAGATATTTGCAAAACTCCAGACCGCAGGTGTCTGCGGTGGGGAACGAACGCGCTATTGTCCTTTCCAGGGAGTAACGCGTTCACCACCACACCATGGCAAAAAATCGATAGAACTAGCCGAGAGGCAGGCGAAACGAAGGACCAGCATGGTGTGGTAGTGAACGCGTTACTCCCCGGAAAGGACAATAGTGCGCTCGTTCCCCACCTCCAGACACTTGCGGTCCGGAGCTTTGCAAATATCTCAGCATCATTGAAGTTATATTTTACAACATAGCCTGCCGTTAAAAAAGAATAGGCAACAAATAAAAAAGTTTGAATTACAACTGTTAATCTCCCACCTTTCCGGAACCAAATTTCTTGAACACTGTCCAGAATCCGTGCAGCTCAGATGGCGTCGCAATAGCGCGGTAACCTAAATATCATGCTGCAAATGCAAAACCCCTTGAAGTTTGGACCATTCCATTTATTCAACCAAAAAGAAAAAGTAGGAAGACTCAAAGTGAAAGGTAGCTTTTGTACAGATTGAACAATGCACCAGCCATAACGGTCTTAGCACAACTCCCATAGGATTTACCAACAATCTAATGGGTAATATGCAACGGAAGTTTTCAGACACAATAAAGTTTTAGGATTGTTCCACTTATTACGAGCTACCTTTTAGAAAGGTGAATCTTCAACGACTCCATTTTTTCTTGAGATTTGAAACTAACCGTATTGTGCATTCAAATTCTCCCAACGGTTCATCGCCTTCTCGTGGCTGGGTGGTGTTCCTGGGTGTCGGGCTGCGACGTAGAACAGGAGGATTCGTCCCCATGGCAGGGTCTCCCAAGCTGAGACGTGTCTCAAGATCTACTTTCTACTAGCCTCGGCACTGGATTATAAATGCGTCGTTTTCTTTCTCAGCAATCGCGAGGTGATATACCCGATCTCTTGGAATGATTGCGGAGACGCACATAGTGGCGAAACGGGGAGACCTTTATATATCCACATAAAAGATCACCTAAATGACAAACGAAGACCAAGACAAGGCACGCTAGTAGGGACGCATAGGATACAAAACATGGTGGAGACGATTTTGATATAAAAGTCACTATCTTCGCACGGGATGCCAAAACACCAGAGCGCAAGCTTCTTGAGGCTTTTTGGATAAATGCCAAAAACCCTAAAATGAACAGCAGGAAGGAATGCTCCGAGATCACACATGATCTCGTCCCGTACCTTCGTATCGATCGTTGATGTGGGGAGGTGTAGTCGTCAACCAAATGCGACGCTGATCAGCGGCTCTTCCTCAGTGGAAGGCGCGTAAAATAACGATGGGTTTTTCGAGAAGCTGTTGACCATGTGACTACCATTTAGATTCTCATCTTTCTGTATGTCTTATTAAAGCATTTAACGTAGTAGATTGCGTATCACTATGCCCTTCCAGGCTCTAAAGAAGGCGGTTCTGCCGAAACGTCAGCTACGATTGTGTTGTATGTGTGTTATTGTATGGAAGTAAACGTTCGCTGCTTAACAACCTCGCGACTGCTGAAAAAGAAAACGGCGGAGCTATCAGCATGGTTTAAATTGGTGAACGTACACGAGGAATCAGTCAAATCAACAAAAACCGCGCCGTATAAAAGAGTACTGCCGGGTCAGCATACGTCACTCGTGCGGTGTTCCACTTACGAAATTATCGAATCGTATCATCGGCTCTGATGAAGACGTCGGAACGCTAGCCGAAATAAATATTATTATCAAGCTCGTGTAAGCTCAAATTTAGAACACGTTATTTTACTACCGAGGTTAAGTGGTGGTCGATTTGAAAATTGTTTTTTTTAAAGCTATGTTCCTACCATAAACAGAAAGCGTCGTATCATTCACAAACATATCAGTAGTGGCAACAAGTGGCGCCGTTTCTCGTGCGTTGATAGTCTGACAACGTCCGGTAGATCTGAAAAGAAATCCCAATCGACAAATAATCTTCGATTTACTGCCTAATGTTCGAAGACAGTCGACTTGAGAGGAAACGTTTTAAAAACTGATTACGCATTGAATAGAGTCATAATGAAACCGCCTCCAAGGCCACTCGATTGCGGGTTTACAACCCCAATGCAAAGAAGTGTAGCGATCATTGATTCAACCGCATTTCCACCATCAATCAACACGTCTCTATAAACCGAAAGTCAGAAAACGTATAGTACAAATTTTTTAGCTCTTTTTAGAGTTTAATATACATCAAACACTCAATGGAAAAGGGCATATAGCAAATTCATGCGCGAATTTTGAGCCAATCGCTTACCGTCCCACTTCTGAACATAGACCATGATCCGAAGCCACTGCAGCCTTCTTGAAGCGCGCGAAAAGACTACCAGACGGTAAAGGCCATTCTATCCTTCGTGGTGAGTCGTCTTGTGACTGAACATTAACATGTAGGTTGATATGGCGACTCATTGAAAAATTGGTTTCTGCAAACGATTGAGCGAGCGCTTTAAATTGGCCAGTAATTACTAATCAATAGGCATTGTAAGTTCTCTTTTCGTCACGAGCCACTTATTCCTGTAAAAATATTCTACGCATGGACTCTTTTACTAAACCAGTCAATTTTTTGCAAAACTCCAGTTTTAAGTGACATATTTTTAGTAGAAACGAACTATTTCGAATGAAAAAACCAAAGACAAGTTAAGCAAGCATTTGAAACGTGACAAAATATGGACAAAAAACTTTTTAAATACTGCACATCGAAGCAATGAGGTCTAGAAAACTAAAGAAACACGTACGTAATATAAAGCATACTATATCAAAGAAGCGCATAGAGAAGTGGCTAGAGGCGCCATGCAGCACAAATGGGTTCGATCGGGCGCCCCACCTAGAGCCAGCGGAGCCTAATGAGCCGTAACCACCAGTGTCCTCTAAGTGTTGTGGTTGGGATGACGGTTTTCTCCTTTGGACTTAGCTTTTTGCTGCAGCTGTTTCCGCCATAAGCTTATGCTGACCCTTTTCCGGTTGGAAATAAAATATTTAAGTACCAGCGAGCGGGAACCGTTTGGTATGACACATTGAGACTCGAGATGCAAACGTGACTTCATCACAGTATAGCGGGTAACTGTCATTAGATACAACCGCAATGATGCTGAGATACTTGCAAAACTCCGGACCGCAGGTGTCTGCAGTGGGGAACGAACGCGCTATTACCCTTTCTGGGGCGAGAGACAGGCGAAACGAGGGACCCTGCATGGCGCGATGGTGAACGCGTTACTCCCCCGAAAAGACAGTAGCGCGTTCGTTCCCCACGGCAGACATCTGCGGTCCGGCGTTTTGCAAATATCTCAGCTTCTTTTGGCTGCATTTTGAACAATACCCTATTGTAAAAATTGTAGTAAGCAGAAAATAAAAAGCAAAACATTGCTTCTGAGATAATTACAAAACTCGCAATCTGAGCCAGATTCGAACCAACAATTATTCCTTCCCGGTGTCACCTTTAACCCACTGCACCAGTAAATTCATCTCTTTGTCTTTCTCTCAGCCAGTTTTTCTACTCTAACGATGCTGTCAGCAATCATCTGTCAGCGAAAATGATCTGAGGAACATAAATCGTCAGTGAACCCAGTTAAGCTGAGGCTGTAGTCGAAATCGTAATGTATACCTTTCTACATACTACCTAATACTTTTTCGTGGAAGGACGTTATGTGAAAATCTAACCTGGGGTTCGAGTTTTGCCAATATCTAAGCACCATTGTGGGTCGTACTACACATAATGCTTAGCCATGCTGTATTGGGCGGGTGAGGTCTTTCGGGGTCAGGGTAATGAGCCTGCCTATTTCACTTTGTTTAACGTTTGATTTACCATGCTGAGCACTGAATGTGAAAGTTGGGTATACTCACGGGTAGCTTTCGGGTCTGCACCAGATTAAACGAAGAACATATTTGTTCGAGCCGACTCCAAACCGCCTCCCATATACTCTGACACCTGATTGCAGAATTAACTCGAACAATACAATCCTCATAAACGAGGACACACCCACGCAAACATACATAAATGCGCTCTTGTAAACACAGAAGCTAAATGCCAAATCGGCGCAGCAGAAACAGGGAATCCATCCTAGGGTCCATCTGTGTCTGAGGAAAGCAAAGTTCGCTTTTGGCCAGCGATTAGACCGTATCTATCTCTTGGTGATGCGCCACATTGCTCGCGACTACTCGGCATGCGAGCCCTCTGTGAGGGAGATCTTTGGTATTGCTTTGCCGATGACATCGTGGACAGAACAAAGAAAAGTGGACTTCGTACCCTCATATTTGACTCCACTGTTCTTAACCTTTTTATTTATTGCCTATTCTTTTTAATAGCAGGGTATTTTTGCGAAATATAACTACTATAATGCTGAGATATTTGCCAAACTCCGGACCGCAGGTGTCTGCAGTGAGGAACGAACGCGCTATTGTCCTTTCCGGGGAGTAACGCGTTCACCACCATACCATGCGGGTCCTTCGTTTCGCCTGTCTCTCAGCTAGTTTTATCGATCTTTTGCCATCAGCAATCACCCGTCAACGGGATTGATCTGGGGAGCCCAAATCGGCACTGAACTATTTTTTCCGCCTTAACATATGCGTCAGAAACCTGGTTGATACGTAAGTAGCATTAAAGATCATTCAACGTTTTAAACGCGCAGTTGCAGTCTGAAGCACGATGAAACAAGTCTGCCGTGTCACAAAGTGAAGGAGAAGACTCATAGCTCCGATCTACGTCAAGTCAAAAATCAAAGACCCCGTTCTATACGCCAAACTGTCGAAGACGACGTGGCCCGGTCATATAATATATATCAACAACAACCGATGGACAGCAGTCGTTAGTGACTGGATTCCTCGAGACGTCAAGCGTATTGTAGGAAGACCACCGACGTCGCTGTTAGAAAGCTTCACGGAAATCCTAGAAGAAAGACATGATGCTCAACGAGTCCTAGGGAACAGAACCCAATGAACTACTCGTATGCGCGGCACGAAGAAATAGAAGATTTACTGGAGCCCGGTGGAGTCGCTGGACGATCGACGGGACGGCGGATGATGCAGATGATAACCTGCTGTGAAAAAATAACCAGCAGTAAACAAAAAGTTACATATTGTGATTTCGACTGCATCTCTGCTTAACTGAATTCAATGCCGATTTGTGCTCTCCAGATCATTCCTGTTGACGGGTGGTTGCTGGTAGTACTGTTAGGGTAAAAAACTGGCCGAGAGAAAGGCAAAGCAGGGTCCTCAGTGATGCAGTCGGTAATACGTGAGTCCCGCACAGGGTGGATAATCGCGGATTCGAATCTGGAATATGGAATGAGTTTTGTAATTATCTCAGAATCAATATGTATTCTTTCTTGATGAGCTTACACGAGGTTGATAAATATATTTATTTTCGGCTAACGTTTCGACGTCTTCGTCTTCCTCAGAGCCGGTGATCCGAGTCGATGGTCCATGCTTGTTGTTCGCCTCGACGTTGCGTCTTCGCCTTCCTGTCGAGCCAGATCTTCCTCAGCGAGCCATCTTCTCGAATGAGGCATCCTCACTCAGTGATGCCCTTTTATACACGATGCTGATGGTGGATATATAATGACAATGTCCGGTGGTAATAACTTGTATTTCTTCCGGACATACATCATTACGCACATCGTGCAGAGGTCGGTGTATTATCAGCTAGCACAAAGCGTAGTAATATTTCGAAACCGACCTTCCCTAAACCTCGGTGTGACTAATCAATATGTATTCTTTCTTGATGAGCTTACACGAGGTTGATAAATATATTTATTTTCGGCTAACGTTTCGACGTCTTCGTCTTCCTCAGAGCCGGTGATCCGAGTCGATGGTCCATGCTTGTTGTTCGCCTCGACGTTGCGTCTTCGCCTTCCTGTCGAGCCAGATCTTCCTCAGCGAGCCATNATATTTCGAAACCGACCTTCCCTAAACCTCGGTGTGAGGCTCTGAGGAAGACGAAGACGTCGAAACGTTAGCCGAAAATAAATATATTTATCAACCTCGTGTAAGCTCATCAAGAAAGAATACATATTGATTAGTCACACCGAGGTTTAGGGAAGGTCGGTTTCGAAATATTACTACGCTTTGTGCTAGCTGATAATACACCGACCTCTGCACGATGTGCGTAATGATGTATGTCCGGAAGAAATACAAGTTATTACCACCGGACATTGTCATTATATATCCACCATCAGCATCGTGTATAAAAGGGCATCACTGAGTGAGGATGCCTCATTCGAGAAGATGGCTCGCTGAGGAAGATCTGGCTCGACAGGAAGGCGAAGACGCAACGTCGAGGCGAACAACAAGCATGGACCATCGACTCGGATCACCGGCTCTGAGGAAGACGAAGACGTCGAAACGTTAGCCGAAAATAAATATATTTATCAACCTCGTGTAAGCTCATCAAGAAAGAATACATATTGATTAGTCACACCGAGGTTTAGGGAAGGTCGGTTTCGAAATATCTCAGAATCATTGCGGTTGCTGTTCACACAGTGAGTTCCCCATGAAAAAATAATAGATGGCAAATAAAAGCATATACATTGTGATCTCCATTTTTATTTGTTGGAATAGAGCATAGATTTGCAACCTTACAGTCCTACTTAGAATGGATTTTTAATACATTGGGTTTTATTGCAACTTTATGACAATCCTAAACTACCCTGCCTATTTTCAAGCGTCCGGAGCATCACCTTTGTTTTACTGATGCATCTCGGAAGGATAAAATTATCGCCCACAAATCAAAAGTACGACAAAAAACATCACATTGACTACACGGCGTGATACTCAAAATCTTCGGCACGAAAATGGTACTGTTTTCACACAGTTGGCACTTAACACTATTCCACTCGTGGATGGCGTGGAATCGGCATAATTGCTGAATTTTTGTGACAACAGCATGACCCTCGTGGAAGGCTTGTGTGACCTACTCGATTAAAAAGTGGTACAATAGCCGTGGAGATGCCTTCCGTAACCACTCTTAGGGAGTATACCCGTGCACAACATCTCCAACTAACCAATGATTGTGTCGTTTTCTTGCTCAGCAATCGCGAGGTTTTTAAACAGCATACATTTACTTCCATAAAGAAAACACAATACAATA